ACTCACTTGTAGGTGGAGCAGTTTGGTGATATAATATTCATGGAGGAAGGCTCCCTTGGGATCAAGAGTATAAAGAGTGCATGGACCTGGTCAATTTGGACATATACCGCGATTTAATTTCACTCATTGCTGAGGGGTCGAAGATGGGTAGTCCAGGACATAGTCTGGTGTAAATTGGGATACCTGAGTATCAAAAAAAAATTATGAATATAGTTTGGCTAGAAGTCCACATAGGTGCCTACAAAGTCCTACTTACTGCCTACTCTATCCGCATAATATTTTTGATGTGGTTATGAAGTGTTCTAATTTTATTACAAGTTACTAATAATTTTCGTTCAGAAGTTGAAAACTTGTGGCTGCTTGAGCTTTTATGCCTAAGCCAGATAAGGATTTCTGGAGAGAAAATAAAAAGATCGAGAGTGAACATGCATTTGGTTAGTAATTGTGTGTGCTCGTTTATAAGATTATCTTTTCATTCATTTATAAAAGTTTGTGGTAGTAAGTTTCATGCTGTTTGAAATTCGAGGCTCCTTAGCCGACACCCCCGAAGCTAGGATAGCAGGTGGATGGTTAGGATACCTCTCTCTGGAGAAAAAGGACACAAAGTTTTGGTACTTGACATCTATCATAATAATAAACACTAGTCCTGTTGAACCTTCTTTTGAATTTTTAAAACTTCTGATTCTCGTGCAAGGGAGAGAATCCACTGTTGTCTCGACTGTGCCGTTGGATGAAAACATGTACTCCCAACCATTTATGCTAGATTGTTTCTTATTTTGGGTCGGAAGTCATTACCTTAACTGTAAAGAGGGGATGCCAAATGTAGGGATACTGTCGCAACAAGATAATCGTATTGAAATACATGACTTTTTTTTTTCACAATCAGAACCTCATTGAATCCATCACTTATGGCGGAGGAATACCTTAAAGACAAACCATCAAAACAATCTAAACAAGTAAATCATAAAAGTCACAATTATCCAAACCATCACTAACCACAACTTAACTTTCTCAAATAAGCCACCCCCATTATATTCAATCGAAGTAATCCTCGAGCAAGCCTCCATCCTACCTAAACAATCAACCACTCGATTGCTTTCTCTCTATTGGTGTGCTACCTGAAAATCAAACTCCAGCAATAGCTCCACAATATCTTCCCAAAAGTCCCATAAGAATCACAAGGAACACTTGAGAGATAAAATCCAAGAAATCGCCAACAATGAATCACACTCGATATCAATATGATATACTTCTAACTCACGACATAACTATAAACCCTTAATGAGTGATCTCAATTCAGCTTCATTATTAGTTGCTTCCTCCATATTTTGTCCGCAGACTCCAACAATCACATTTCGAAGCAAAATTGATACCAACTGCTTCAATTTTTTTCATCCACACTTGAGCTTCCATTCAAGGCTTTCCACATGAGAATTGAAAGACGTTTAGGTAAAGCACTATGCCAAACCCAATGAACCCATTGCACATGTTCACCTCGAATCCTCACCACTTCCCAAGCAGTTTTCACAGTAAATAAGCCATGTTTTTGTGGCTTCCAAATCAGTAAGTCTGTCCCCCTTCTTCGATTTGCAACCTGAGCAATAACTTGACTGGCTAGATTCTCACTTACCAAGTCTCTCAACCTAACCATAACCCACCAACTTTCTAAACAAATATTATTCATTTTTAACTTTGGTTCTACAACACGAGGTACTAGTGCACGTAAAGGAGCCCCCTCTAGCCAATTTATCAAACCAAAAAGAGCATGAACCATCTCTTATCTTCCATTGACTTTGTTCAATGACCAGTGGGGGAGGCAATCTCTCACAGACCTCCAAAAGCAAGTCCCAATTCGACTTGCATCTGCTATATCCAACATCCCCTGTTTCAAGTATGTTGCTCTTAGCTCCTGTTTGGTATGAATTAAAATCAAAATTTTAGTAGATTTTAATAGAAGTTGATTAAACGCGTGATTAAAATGAATTGTCCATTTTAACTTGGATTAAAATCTTGATTTTAATTTTCACCAGACTGAGGCTTAATATAAACATATTCCAATAAATATCTAGATCATTGAAAAGTTTGGAATCGATAACCACTAGAAAGAGTTTGAACGAAGCGCGTTTTCCTGTTTTATATGTATGAATAATGTTATTTATCCTCCCCTGGGATAATCTTCAGTCTACATGGTAAGTAATTCATGAAATAATAAGATATAAGAACATGACTTTATAGATCTTAATGACACATTCCCATGTTCGGGTTTTGATTAAAATCAAGTTTTTAATCTAAATTTGTCAATAATTAATTTTAACCACACATTTCATTGGTCCGCAACTTTTCAACCATACGTTCCATCGACTTTTATCAAAATCTATTGAAAATCTGATTTTAATCTCAACAAGTTAATATTCACAGCGAAATAGTCAGAGGACATAATGGTGATAAGCTTCACTTTTGTCTCTGAAAAAGAAGAGACATTCGAATGTAAAAATGATTTTGTTCCTTTGGATCCCCACTTCAAATATCATAGGTTCTATTTGTTTTTTCTTTTGTTCCAGTTGACACTTCCACTGTATTTAAAAATGTATAAAGTTAGAATCTCAGTCCTTCAAGGTTGATTTGCTTTTTCTTTATGATTTACTGCACAAAATTACCTACATTTGTGTCCACATAAAATAGGGCCAAAACTGAAAGTTGGAAAGAGTACTGATTTTTTTTTTTAATTTCTTTTGTTTGGAAGACGGCAAAACAATCGAATCCCTTGCTTCCAAATGCAATCCAACAAACTATGCACTGAGTAATTCTTGCTTGCTAAGCTCTGAGCTGTTTGCCTATTCAACGTACATTCTTATTTATTTTAAAGTACACTAGAGAGGATGCTACGACGATACTTGTTTGGAATAAAAATATATAAAGATTAATCGCTTTTCCATTGACACTTTTCTTTACGTCGTCTAAAAGTTGACACTTTTTTCAATGGTTCATATCTTGCAAATATTCTCCAAAACAATGTTTAATTAAATTAAATGAATAAAGGAACTAGCTTTTCCTATAATATATAAATTTGAACCTTTTTCTTCCTTAATATTGCATGAAATTACATTTGACATTCTATTGATTTATGTCAATTGCTACAAACATGTAAGTCTAGTATGCAGAGGAAATTATGTTCATATTTAGGATATATTTTTTTAAAAAAATTTTTAACCACACATTCTCTCGATAAAATAATTTTGCATGTGGACCTATAATTTCTCCCTACTTTTTAATCATACGTTCTTAAAAAAAAAAATCATTTTTCACAAAGGCCATGTTTGTTTCGGATTAAAATCAGATTTTAATTTAAATCAAAGTCAAACAATTAATATTAACTACATCTTTCATGGTTCTCACAATTTTTCAACCACACATTTCAAAAATTTCTATCACAATCTACTAAAAAACTAATTTTAATCCCTACCAAACACCCCGAAAATCAATTTCAAAAATCTATATCAAAGGGGCCCTAAATAATATTGTGAATAATTTTGAATTTTTATTATTTAGTTTATCTTTAATTATAATGAAGAGAAACAATGAATTCTACAAGAGAAGTGCGTTACAAATTTAAGGACGATGTCAGCTCCCTCTAAAAGTTTTTTTAATTAGATAAAATATTTTTTAAAAATTATTTAAATATATACAAAAACTACTACTTAAGCCCTTGTTTGATTCGCATTATTGGACAAAAATAAAGTTTTGAATAGTGAATTTTTAGATAATATGTGATTAAAAAAAAGAGAAAAATTTTGGATTTACTTGTACAATATTTTATTGTGTGGTTGAAAATGACTATGTAGAATAAGAGTTTATTCATTCTGCCAGGGGCACATGGGCCCTATTCACAGAGTAGCGTGGTACGTAGAATAAATAGTTTTGAAATATGATTGTCAAATAGAGGCTAATTTTAAAAGATTTTTTAACTTTTCAAAATCTAACAAACGAGCCCTAGCTAATAAGCAATCCAGCTAAAGAAACATTTTTTCTATAATTGCAGGGCATATATGGAAATCAATATATTTGTCGGAGAAAATTACAATTTAACCTTCCTTCCTTGTTGCTCTCTATAAAGTTTACCTTTTTCTTTTGCAGTTCTTATTTTGATGCTTTCCCTCAACATACAGACAGACACCCAGAATTTAGAGCTCAAATTTGTAACAATGGCGAAAAGTTTCAAGCTTCGGATCACGAGAGTTATTACTACTACCTTACAATCCTGCCGTTCAAAAGACCCCTCCACTCTCCCGGAAGATCCTGTCCCTTCATTCTCACGACTTTCTCCCGGGAACCCCAACTTTACGGCCGTCAATTTGCCGCTTTCAAAGGACCAAAACCATCGCCCTTCCTTCAAAAGCAACGTGTCATCTACTTTCTTAGCGGCCGGTTGTGGTTGGGCCTCTAAGCCCGATGCGACAATTACTTCCGATGAAGACTGCACCAGATCAGAACCCCAAGAATTCAAGTGGCAAAAGGAGGAGAAATGGCACGTTGTTGCAAAGATCTATGAAGAGAAAGCACCACGCCAGAAAGTGTACAACTCCTCTGTTTCCGGCGGGTCCGACGATGATGACTTAACTTTTGCAGCTCCTCGTGCACTGCCGCCGCCATCCGCGGCGGAGAAAAAGAAAAGACGCGGGAAGAAGAAGAAGAAGAACATCCCAAGTAGACTTCGCATTAGCACCTCATCAGCCGATAGTGGGTGGTTTAGCAGTGAAGGCGGTGTCAGTGTTGGTGATGAAAGAGATGAAGAGGAAACTGAAACCCTAGTTTCCTCCTCCATTAGCTTCTCCACTGACTCCTCCTCGGAGTTCAACCCTCGTTTGCATCCCATTCAAGAAGCACCCTTTTCCCCAAAACCTCACAGGAGGAACAAAAGGAGAGTGGCCAAGACTTCAAAGCGCAGCATTTCAAGACCGTCAGTCTCCGCCGCAGAAGGCGAGATTCCGGCAAGACTGTCCATGTTCAAGAAAATGATACCATGTTCCGTTGATGGAAAAGTTAAGGAAAGTTTCGCTATAGTGAAGAGGTCTAAGGATCCATACGAGGATTTCAAGAATTCAATGATGGAGATGATTTTGGAGAAACAAATGTTTGAAGAGAAAGATTTGGAGCAACTCTTGCAGTGCTTTTTGTCTTTAAATTCCAGTAATTATCACGGGATTATTGTCCAGGCTTTTTCTGAAATTTGGGAGGAAATTTTCTGCCCTGGTTCGAGGCCTTCTTCCTCCTATCGCCGCCGTGTATCCGGTGGAGCAAATTAGATCGAGTATTGTTGCCATGATTAAAATTAAAATCTCCTGTAAAATTATTTTAGGCGCTGCTATCCATCAATTAATTATGTTTTTTCTTCATTAATTATAATTAATATCATGAATTTAACTACGCGTTCATAATTGCATGCATCCATGATTGGTACATGACATGAATATTTGGCTACTTGTAATTTCTGTATAACTTGTGGAGTTTGATTTTCAAAAAAGAATCGTACTACATCGACATAATCTTTGACACAATAATTGATATAATGCCGCATGACAATTAAAAATACTCAATTTTTTCATCCAATCATATCTTGCCAACTAATATTACGTTACTCTATCTGTCAACTATTCTCTAACAAAGTGGATAAATGTATACTGAGAAAGTGCTTCATGTTGGGTAACCCATTCCTTCAATTTACCTCTTTATCCAAACCAGTGTCACATTATTAAAGGGTAAGTAACTCGAGCTATAGAGTCGTTTCACTTTGGTCGTCGAATTACGCAAATTTCTCTTATTGTGATTCTACCGACCGGTTCAGTCGATGAATTGCGCTTCAATCATCTCCTTCAGATTTTGTCCAATACACAAACTAAGGTCGAGTTTGATTCTATTTAATGTGTATTATTAAGATTGGTCAAAGTAATTTGCAAGCTCGAGAAGGTAGCATTTGAGTAGGTCTTGAAATCTCACAGTATGAAATGGAATCAGAATTTATTGTCAAAATCGTTCTGATTTGATTTTTCTTTGTCGTTGACGAGTAGACATGACCCCTTGAATTGTTTCATCATGTAATATGACCAGAAGAAACTAATGTAAAACGGGGCAAAGAATTCAAGGCAAAAACGTGTACTTTTAGTCAAAACCACCCGTAGTAACGTATGATTGTAATAATTAACTTTTGTTCCTCAAAAACAGGCAATAATTATTTTTCGATTATGAAGAAATATGATTGCTAGGCATGTGGATGTGGGAGGAAGAACAAATGCAATGATTTAAAAGGAAATGGGGCATTTTTTGCCGTCTTCAATTATTATGGTCTCCCCCTACACGAACTTTAAATCATTCGGGTTGGTCCAATCTTTTTGTTGCATTTTAACTTTTAAATTCATCCACACCTATATGATGTACAATTGTGAACTTAGGTTGAGTCGATCTTAAATAAGATATAAGTTATGAAATCTAATTATTGTCATTATGCGGAAAGAGTGTGTTGCATTCTGACAATCAGAATGTTCACTTAGCTATGAAATCTAATTATTGTCGTTATGCAGAGCAACCATTTATGGTGAATTAATCTTCAAGTGAGAAATCGTTAAGTTGTGGAGTCAAATTATTGTCTCTATCCGGAGTCTATACGCGCCTCCTAGGGGTCAAAATTGCATTAAAGATAATTTAGGAATTTAACAATTATAAGTTCGATTTTGCTCTAATTTTTTTATAAATAAAGAATTGTCATTATAGTTTATTTTATCATCATCATCATCATCAAAAGAGAGATGTTATAAAAAAAAATAGGATGTGCAATTTTTCTTTTATAAATTTTTTCATCATAGTGAATTATTGTAAAAGCGGACAATGACATAATCTCACATTGAAATAAACATATATAAATGTTGCGTGTATTTTTGTTGTGGTTTAACCGAAATTCTAGTGGATATTAAAGTCTAAATTGGAATAGTCTTGAAGAGATCAAAATTATGGATCGGAGAAAAAAGTCACCGCATTTTCGCTAGCTGGCGCTAGTGGGACGCTCCCACCTGGCGCTGCCCTGTCGCCCGCCGTCACTCGAGTGACAGGCTTATCCAGTCAAGACCCGTTTTCGTTTTTTGAAGTGATTTTGGACTCCTATTTCTCTACAACTTGTTCTCTAGGATTATATATATATATATATAACATCTTGAGAACTTTAGATTTCAATTGAGTGCATTGAAATCTTGTAAACACAACTACTATTGATTATAGTGGATTTCTCTTTTTCTACCCATGATTTTTTCCCGTATTGAGTTTTCACGTAAATCTTGATGTTTATTTTCTTGTTTATTTTTCCCACAACAAGATGAAAATCGTGCTCCATTCTGCACAATAGTGGATATGTTTATCTTTTTTGTATTGTTAATCAGAATTAAAGGTCAAATCATTTTCTCTTCAGAAGTTTGTGTTAAAAAAAGGGATATACACTCAAATTCTTTAGTAACTCAACTTTTAAGAAAAACCATTCCCCCTGCATGCAGAATCTATTAAATACACTGAGAATCTACCTGTATTACTCAATCATGCTACATTGTTACTATAAATGCATGCTTAGTTCTCAGTTCTGAATCATATCCAAACTTTTCTTCTAAATTATTCTGATCACTCTTCTGTCCATTTGTTATTTTTGTGTAACTGCCCAAAGTAGAGATTCAAGTCTGCTCCAACTGTATAGAGTACACCATTGATTTGAAGTTCGTATATCTCACTAAAAATGGCTAAAAACTTTCAGAGTTTTTGAATGCAAACTCCATGCTTTTGTTTTCTTTGTTCATTTCAGTTTTCATTAATTTGTAATCTGAATTCTGATTAATTCAGCTGACTGCAAATGGAAAGATTTAGTGAGAATTGAGATGGCAGTTCACAAGGCATCAGAGATTCTTTGCCTCTTTCAGCACTACTTTTTGCAGAAAAAATTACAGCCTTTTATTTTCTTCTGTGGGGTTCAAGTAGGATAATTGGAAGAGGGAGATTTTTCAAATCCTACTTCTATCTGGGCTCTATATTTTTGGCATATGCACTCCCACTGTTTTTTTGCTGTCTGTGTGTGTGTCAGTAGGGTTTTTTGCAATCTCGAGAGAAGTTTCTGTACATCTCTGGCGTTGGGTTGCTTGCTTCGTGATTTGAGCACAGAAAAAATGGGCAAGTGTGTTTTTGAGACTCTTAGATGAACTGGAACTTTGGGATTGACTGCCCAGTGCACTCCTATACATTCATGTGCAGTAGAGTAAACCTTGTGGCACATTTTTTTGGCCGGTCACAATTGTGTATACTGGTTAGGTAGGCATATACCCGAGTATGTTACTATTCGAAATAATTTAGTCACAATTTGTATTCCATTAGGTTTCCTTTCCAAGATTCAATCTCCGTTACAGATCATGTGTGCTGATAACACAAGAAGTTACCGATAACATAATTGTGTTACAATTGTAAGTAACAAGAAATTTTAATTATAATAGCACGCGTAAGTAGTTATGTCAACGAGCCGAGAAAAAAAAGTCTGGGCTTGGCTCAAGCTTTTTTGGGCCCTAGCAAGATTGAGCCAAGCCGGTACCTGCCAAAAAAAATGAGGCTCGGCCCCTCGAGCCTTAGTGGGCCGAGCCGGCTCGGGTTTTTTTTTTTTTTTTTTTTTTTTTTTTTAATTTTTTTTTTAAAAAAAA